ATGTTGAATACATACCTTAAAATCCCAATTATTATTTTTTCACCGCGCGTACGTGACTAAAAAATTTTGATACTCAAGCAACGATTGTCACTTACGTATAGGTTATCTCATATAATAGGAACACCTCCGGTATCTCATTACGAACTTCACGCTTTGTGATTTTACGATCACTAAATGTAACATCTACAATTAAGAAATTAAACATGTCCCGTATTTTCCTATTAATATGATCTTACACTATCACTGTATGCAGCATTTATTGCCAAATATTAATTTATTAATATATTTAAATAAAAAAGTTACATCAACGTAAAATTTCCAAGTTTGATATTTTTCAAAGTCCCCGAAGGGTGAAAATTTTTTTCGGTTTTTCGGTATTCCGTTGAGAGTTCTGGTGGCCCGCCAAAGAGTTCTATCGATTATCCTTATTACTCTAAACGGTAAAATTGACGGAAAAAAAGTTTTATCGTTTTAAATTTTCACAATCGTGAAGTTGGCCCCCCGGATTTTCTATTTGTTACAAGTGACTTGCGTGCGGTTCTATCGCTTAGAATCATAAAGATTATCGTATGTCTTGTGAGAATCTATACAGAGCCGTTAACGGAATGCCGAAAAACTTCATGAAAATTTTTTCTCAGTTTGTTTAATTTTGGCGGGAAAATTTTTTTTTGAATTTTCGTGTTTTCTTATGAGTTCTGATAGCCCGCCGAATAGTTCTATCGATTATTCTTATGATCCTAAGCGATAAAGTTGACGGTAAAAAAATTATAGCCTTTTCAATTTACTCAATCGTGAAGTTGGCCCGCCGTACTTTCATTTCGTGTTTTCATCACTTTAATGAACGGAACTATTTTTATTATTGATAGAGAACTCTAGAACTCTTTGGCGGGCAATCAGAACTCTATTCATTTTTTTCAAATTTTGAAAAAGTGGGGCCAACTTCACACACGTGCGGAACTCTTCCCGCGCCGATTTCGGAGTCGCCAAACTATTTCGCGGTTGCCGGTCTCTCAGGTTCGGGTCGTCGCGGAGCCTGGTCCGCGAGACCCATCGGAGACGTGCATCGTCCCGTACGTGGACCGGTCCATGCCTGTTGAACATTCGTGGTTTCTTTGCGGCGAAACGTTCAGCAACTTGCCGTCGCCTCGACCTCGGGTGTGCTGCGCTCGCGACGCTCGACGAGACGTTCGTCGCTCCAGCCTCCCTTCCGTCCGCGGTGCGATCCAACACGGCCGTGCGCGCTGAGGATCCCGCTGGAGAGCTCCGTCGCGATTTTCCTTGCAACGCAACAAGGGTGCTGGCTCGCCCTCATCCTCAAGCACGTCGACGCTCCGCTCGTGACTCGACTTCATGCACCTTCAGCTCCTCTCTCCGATCTCCACGCGCTCGGCCTCATTCGTCGGTTTCGAGATTTGGATCCGGGTTGGACTCAGGGGGCAACGCGGTTCGACCGAGAGGTTCGCATCTCCTCGCGTTCGTGCGTGCTCCACATCGGAGCGCTCGGCGCTCGCGGCCGTCGGACGCGAGAGCCGACGGCACGCGCTTCGGCATCACTGTGAGACTCGTTGTACTTGTGAATTTTACACATTGTAAACCGTGATCCTGCTCGCGTTCGCATGTTTGAGTCTGAGGCCTCGCGAAGCAAGATTTCCGGCGAGCTCTTCAAGATCTCCGTCGCGTGAGTATCAACCTGATATTCGTCAAGATTTCCGTCGCGCTACGAACGGCCTCTTGCTCCAGACTCGCCCAAGATTTCCGTTCTTCGCTCGTCACAGGATCCGGTTATAACGGTGAACTCTCTGTGCTTAATAAATATATGTAGTTCTGTATCACGACTGAAGCTTATTCTCCATCCCGCTTTCACTCCCACGCACGACGCCGGTGCCTCTCTCGAGGCAGTTCCCGGCGCTTTTCGTGTCGGCTCTCGGCTAAACGCGGTCGAGCCCGATACAGAGCAAGATGAAAACGCAAACTACATATATTGTCATATGTGGAAATATTCAAGATTTTACTGAAGTACTCATTGGCGAAGTTCTGAAACGTCCTGCATTGTACAATATTAAATCATCAATCCAAAGTAGGAGTCGAGTGATCGTTAATCAATTGTGGCAAGAGATTTTTGAAGTCTTTGAAGGTAAATACAAGAAATACAAAAATATATAAGTAAAAGTTATGAACAATTTGTACTAATACTTTATTAACTTTAATTATCCGATTTAGATTATTTTAATAGACTAAATAATAATAAAAATAGATTACGATGGTTAAAGTTTTCTATTTAAATTTTGTAATGTTGTAAGACAAACTGTTACTGGAAACGTGTTTACTTGTGTTAAAATTTATTGTTTATGTACAAATTTTTACTTAGGCCAGATACCAGTCGAAGAATTAAAAAGACGCTAGAAAATTCAACGTGATCGATACATGAAAATCCGAAGCGATATGAAAAAAAAAAACACCTAGTGGATCACCTGCGGCAGCCAGAAAACAACTGAACTATAAATATTATGAATTAATGTCATTTTTAGATGATAGTATGGAACAGCGAAAGTAAGTATGTCATATTTTGATTAACATGAATTGGAATTAATGCTAAAAAATTAATGTTAAATGAAACATTTATATCATATTTTGTAATTTATTTTAGACATGTATCGAATATATGTTTTAATAAAAAATCACAGCCGCTTACTTCATCATCAAATTATAATGCTTCATTATCGAAAACTTCTCACGTTGACAGTCCGCTTTCATCATGTACTCAGGTTAAACCTTCTTTTACATCTTCTACTTGAGTTTTCGCCATTCACTATGTCTTCCCAGTCTTCGTCTTCTCCATTGACAAGTTATCCCGAAAGTCACAATTTCAGCAATCCACCAAGTACAATCTTTATAATTGGCTTTAAAACTTTTTAAATTAATAATATTATAACAAATTAATTTTAATTACATGTTTTTTATTTTAGAACGCTTTCGGCAATCCACTACTGTCGAAGACGAAATATTGCGTGGGTTGTCTGCTTTCAAACCAATAACACCTGCAGCAACAGATTCGGTAGATTTATTCTGTCGCAGCATTGTAGATACTTTACGGGAGCTAGATCTCAAAAGCAGACTATCAATGCAAATACAAATAATGCAGCTACTCCATGATAAGTTTTAAAAGACTCAGAAAGATATTATTGTTATAATAATATTAAGAAAAACAAGCAATATTTTCAACAGTATTAAAAAAGGATTTCTTGTTTTATGTTTAGTTATGTGATTAAAAAAATTTATTGTGTTTAGTTTATAAATATAAAAATTACGTATTTTATTTATCAATACGTTTTATTACAAAAAAAAGTTCTTTTTTGAAGATTATAATATTAATTGTAGACAGACGTTCTGTATACATAGAAATGTTATAAAAATAATTTTATTTATGATATAAGATTTTTATTTTTGTTATAAGAAGTAACTGTATTTTTGTTTTTATATTTGCGTACAAGTACAGATACATAAATAAGCTACATACATAAGTTTATTATGTTAAAAGTTTTCTTTATACATACATATATTTTTAAAATAAAATCATGCTTATGTTACATATTATTATTCTGAACAGCTTCATGTTGCCAAAATACCGCTCCTTCATTCATGAAATAATCAACAAATTTATTTCTTATTGTTATAGCATTACGTTGTGTGGATTCATTTACATCTGTGTAAGTAATATTTCTTACAGCTCCATATTCATTGTGTTCTATTCTATCAAACATATACCGTCGTTCATTAGCGGGTTTCTTTAATTCATCTTTTATTAGAAAATTATGAAGGCAAATTGATGCCTTGATAATATTATCAACAGTCTTTAAAGATGCTATAATTGGTCTACGAAATATTCGCCATCGAGATGCTAAGATACCAAATGTACTTTCAATAGTGCGGCGTGCTTGACTTAACCGATAATTAAAGATCCTTTTTTCATAAGTTAGAGATTTTCTAGGAAATGGCCGCATCATATGTTTTTAATGCGAACGCTTCATCTCCCACCAAAACAAATGGTAAAATACAATTCTCTGAATCATGTTCAGGAGAAAGCATATTTAATAGATTATTTTCAAAAGCAATACCAATATCACTTCTTTGAAATATTCCTCCATCGCTCTGGCGTCCTTCTGCTCCAATGTCGACAAGAGTAAAACAGTAAATTTGCATCACAGAAAGCCAATAATACTACGCTATGGGATCCATGATAATTATAAAATGTAGAGCCAGAATGGGATGGTGCCTAAAATATTTATTTAATTAGTAACCAAAAATATGTAAAAATGTATTTATTTACCTGAATAACAATATGTTTCCCGTCTATTGCTCCAATACAACTGACAAAATTCCAGTTATCGTTAAATTCTTTAGCAATTCTCTTCCAGTCATCTTCTTTTGGTTGTTTGAAGATAATAGGTTGTAAAATATTCCAAATTGCTGTAGTAGTCTCTAATATTATACTCGATACTTTGACCTATTCGAAACTAATAACTAAGTGATACCATGCTATCCCCGCTTGCAAGATAGCTACAAGTAGCAATTTATTATACCATACAAATAAAATATTACTTAATACATAATTAATATATTTTTAATAATAATATAATTTAACTCAATAACAATATAACATTTAATAATAATTTTTAATAATATAATTAATATATATTTATTAATAAGTTTTCTTACCGTAATGTCACAGCAAGTCTTGTTGTTGCTGGTACAGGTGTACGAAGTAAAGTTACTGATTTCGTTATATGTGGTCCAATGAAACCAAGTAAACAGTCAAATTGTTCTGATGTCATTCGTAAATAGTTGAAATATTTATCAGGTTCCATCAAGCGCATTTCATTAATAAGTCTTTGTACACCAGCTTCTTGTTTTCTTGGAATATACTTCGTACTCAAACAGTACGTCTTTTCTTTCTTCGACGTCTCAGCAATAAATAGGCAATGAACAAAAACCAATAATATTGATTATTGTGACGTCCCGTCGCGTCGTCACGTATAGTTTTTATTTCTCCTTATTTTGGGTCAATGCACTAAAGCATTTTACCCGGGGATCGGAGATCAAGTTGTGCACTACTTCTAGTTCACCGGTTGACGGGTGAAAGGATTGGGTAGGATCATCGATGTTCTACTCCGAATAATTCGCGTATTTTATAGGTAAGTCGACGAGGATCACCCTTAGGGATGGACTTGTAGTCGGGAAATGAATAGGTATATTCTGCCTTACGTAGAATATAGGTTGCTATAGATAAAGGATTGGGTTGAGGAGATTGATCTAATAGTTTTGCTAATTCTTCATATAATGGAAACGAGTCTTGGTTTGAAAAAAGAGCGACCTTGATCTGATATCTAAGTCTCTTAATTCGCTGTCGTCGCCCACCTTTCGAAGGCATATAGAATTAAATAAATTTCGTTGAGGAATAATTACGAGGAACGGGGCCACACTATTGGTAGCGACAGTTCGTGTGATTGGGGCCACACTATTGGCAGCGACAATCGAGATAGTTGGGGCCACGCTATTGGCAGCGACAACTATAATTACTCCTCGTGAATAATTTTCATGCGAGATTTTATCTAAAGCGAAAAAGAGACTTAGTTTCAACCCAAAAGAAGTAACATATAATAATTTATTTCTAAGTGTTAAGGTGATTGAATTAATACATTGAGATACTATAGGATAGAACAAGTACGATTATAGGTCTGGAATTGAAAAAGGAAAACCGAGGTGAACTAACTGTTTAGTTCGGCATCATCTCCGACCGACTGACTATTCTGACGTACTGTCTGACTGACTGTCTGTTCTGACGTACTGTCTGACTGACTGTCTCTTCTGACTAAAAATTTCGTACTGACTCGCTGGCCCTTGGTGTTCCCTTTTTATACCCAATTCCTAGTAGGAGAGTCTTTTTAACATCCAATCAGAATCCGTAGGTTCTATTATCGCATTTGTTTATATATTTATTAGGAGATAGTAGAGCTCCGCGTCAGCCCTACTCTCTCCTACGTTTAAACCTAAAGTTTGTGACTTAAATTTCTAGATCTATCTAATTATATGTAGATCAAAGTGAAATTTCAATAAATCCTTTTTAATTATTTTGTTATGTGGAACTTATCCTCAGTTTTTGAATTGTTCCTTTATCTTAATTATTTCTTATAGTATATATTTTGTAGTATATAAATATGTAACATCGTCTTTAGTTAATTGAAAAAGTTGTTTATGTTCGGGTATTTATTCGTTAAAATTATTGAAAGTGAATAAAACAGCCAAAAACAGAGAGGGAAAGGAAAGAAAAAGGGTGTCTCTTATCGAAAAAATGGTCCGAGAACCTGGTTTGGTTGTTAAAAGTATCCTATCTAATCTGTACAAGTGAGAAAATAAACGAGATATTTTGACGGTCTATTGTGACTAAGAATCTAACATATGGAGACAAAAGGTAGATTCCGCTGCGATGTACGTAACATTATTATGGTATTCTTCCATTTAGAAGAATTTTTCCTCACACTTTTCATGTAATTATTCACGAAATTAAAATAGGTTACACTTACGGGAAGATGTTAAAGATGATACGCGTGAATCAACAGAACAGCAGAAAAGCAGAAAGCAGAAACTGTTCACTACCAGCACGACTTTTGATTGGCTTCTGCTTTTCTGCTTTCTGCTTTTCTGCCAAGGTGTGAATTCCCCCTTAGTTAGTTCATTCACGGACGCCCGTATGTGACCATCTAATTACGCAGAGATTGTTATATTCAACTTTGGATTATGGACCGTGTCTAGTTTTGTGTTATCTGAAAAATGGCTAATTTTTACACAAATTCTGAAATGACGGATATTCATTTTATGTACGGTAGAGCAAAGGGCAATGCTTCAAAAGCAGCACGCTTGCATCATGCAGCTTATCCGAATCGCCGACAGCCAAGTAGAAGAATGTTTAGCAACATTCATCAATGCAATGGATGGAGGGCATATTGAACATTTATTATAAATTTTAGTTATTTTCTATTTTTCACAGAATAAAATGCTTCATAACTCAGAAATAAAAGGTTTTCGGAGTACTGTTCATTAAGACTTTTTGGTTTGTTTTAACGAGTACTACATACCCCTAAAATTTGGCACCACCTTTTGGAAACACCCTGTATATATATGTGTATATATACAGGGTGAATATTATATACCGGAACACCTGAATATCTCGAAAACAAAGCGTTGTATAAAAAAATGTTAAATACAAAAGTTGTAGGGTTTAAAAAGATCTATTTTATGATATTAGCAGTTTGACCTTGAGTTGCG